GTACTGCTGCTGCTCGTAGTAGTACTACTTGAAGTACTGCTACTACTCGTCGTACTGCTACTCGTGGTGCTGCTACTGCTCGTAGTGGTACTGCTAGTGGTGGTCGTTGTAGTAGTACTACTTGTGGTACTGCTGGTACTTGTTGTAGTACTTGTAGTGGTAGTAGTAGTGCTACTTGTAGTACTGGTAGTGGTACTCGTAGTACTGCTACTGCTTGTAGTACTACTGGTGGTAGTAGTAGTAGTGCTAGTAGTGGTACTGCTGCTGCTGCTACTGCTCGTAATAGTAGTTGTAGTGGTGGTGGTGGTGGTGGTCGGTATTGCTGAAATACAAAACAATTATGTTTTATTCAATCAAATTAGAAGGGCAGTTATACTAAAAACATTAATATGACATCAAATGATTCAAGCAACATTTCATTTGATTTTTGTTAACTTTTCAAATAATAGTCGCAAAAAGAATAATTATCAACTATAACTTAATATTACTCGATTGTATATAAAAATAACTTACTGCAGTTGTTAGTTTGAAGAGCGAATTGTTGCACTCGACTATTATTTCGATCAGTAACATAAATGTTTCCATAGCTATCAAAAGCCATACTTTGTGGAAAAGATAATCTAGACGCAGTTGAACCACCTCCCGAACATCCTACTATACATCGAAAACCAGTAGAACTTGAACCAATAATACGATGATTATAACTATCGACAATAAAAAGATAGCCATTTGCATCAAGGACAATTCCCGTTGGATAGTTAAGTATAATATTTGCTGATGAACCATTACCAACGATTGTCATTCCATTTAATTGACCAGTTTGGACGAATTGAATACGATTGTTAGCACAGTCTGCAATATATAGATTTAAATTAATATCAACATAGATTCCTTGAGGAAAACTAAGCATATTTAATAGTGATCCTGCAGAACCATTTCCAGCTGCGATTGTCGGAATAGTTGTTCCATTATTAAGTAAGAGTTTGACAACTTGATGAAGAGTTTTAAGTGAACAATACAGATTATCGCTAATATCAATAAATAAACCATAACAACTTCCATTAACATTCATAATAGTAACACGATTTGATGTATTAAATGTATATTTATCCACTCGACCATATGAATAACCATTATCAATATAAATATCACCAGTTATAGACATAAAAAGACTATATGGATTACTCAAATTACTATAATTATTACTTGTTGATGTAGTAATCCCTTGAGGCCATGATAAAATAATGTTACTAACTCGATTAGGCACATACACAGTATTAATTCCATTAATAAAAATACCATAAGGTAATGAGCCAATTGTACTACTTGATGCAAAAGTTGATGCATTAGAATACCACAAAGCATTTGAGCAAAATGTTGGTTGATTATAAGAGATACCTAAAATAAAATAAATTTATATCATCGAAAACATAAATTAAGAGTAACTTACTACATGAATTTGATGCTAATATAAACTTTTG